TATACACTATACCATTCAAAAGCTCTTTTTAAAATTTATATTATAGAAATTATTACTTTCATTTAGCAAGGATGTTTTAAATTGATCAAAAGTGATGATAAAGACATTTATACTGTTACAAAAGATTTCTATTTCAGATAAATGCTGTTCTTATAAACTTTCTATTCATCAAAGAAACCTGAAAAAAATCTGCTCCACTGTTTTCAACATCATAATAATAAATGTTTTTTGAGCAGCAAATCAGAATATTAGAATGATTTCTGAAGGATCATGTGACTGGAATGATAGAGTTGGCAAATTAATTTTTCATAAGTTTGTAGGTACAGACATCTGTTGTGGCCATTCTTGGTCGTTTTTATGAGGCTTTTTTAACAGTGTTCATATCGATATCGGAATTATATCGTATCAACCGAAATTAAGAAATATATCGTGATATAAATTTTGGCCATATCGTCCAGCCCTATGTTCTCATCAAGCTGTACTTGAAGGTCTTGTTTTATTAGCATTTTCGGCCCTTGTGCAAGAAGGGGCTGAAATTGAAGATACGGCGGGGTATAATTTGTCTTTGAGTGGCTGAAGTATGTAAAACGGCAAGCGCAAGTAGGTTGTGTTTGTTCCTCGGGCTATTTTTGTAAACTTGGAAAGGTCTGAGGTAAAATAGCTAGCGGAGTGAGCCAACAGCTTACACAAAGTATTTATTTTTTTAAACTGAAGTTCATTTATAAAGGTTAGATAAGATTTCACACGCCAAAAACAGGCCACATAACCATCTTTCTAGGTGATTGTGCTACTGTACCGTTAAGACTTCTGTATGTAAATGACCTCTGTTATGGCCTTTAAAGAGAACAGACAGAAACTTGGAAGAAAAAGTTACCTGAGAGGCTGAGATGCAGACCTAGTGTGTATCTTCATGTCCTCGAGTCTGTTGGAAGAACATTAAGATGACACTGGGTTCAAGAACACACTGCATGGTTACATAATAAACTGCATCTGAAATCCCAGAAAATGGAGCTGAATGTAATGCTTGCATTCCAAATGACTCACAAAATGATGCGTACTACATACTCTAGGGATGCACCGATACCACTTTTTCCAGTACTCGCCCGATACCGATACTTTTATTTTTTGTACTTGCCGATACAGAGTACCGATATTTTTATTGCATTTGTAATTTTGTTTTACTTTTTTTTTTACTTTTTACATTTTTTAAATATTGGGTACAGAAACAAAAAGGGTATGTATAATGTTAATTGGTTAACTTCATTTATCAAATAGATACAGTGAAACCAAAATTTATTCAGACACCTTCAACTTTTCTCACATTATCACAGTTTATTCGCTATAGTTTAGAAAATTTTAATAAAATATGACAAGATCTCAAGAGTTAAACTGTGTCAGAACAAATTCAGCTTGATAATACTAGATAACTTTGAAAGGTATGTAATGAATTACAATCAACCAAAAATTATTCAGACAGCTGTATCAGTGAATAAATTTTTTTTAATCTTATTTATGCATGAATATATTGAAGTTGTGATGAAATGGAATAAAATGAACAGATTTTTCTTCGGTATTGTAATGTGCAACTGAGTGAATTGGATTATCTAAAAAAGAAGAAAGAAAAAACTAGAGCAGAGACTTGGTTCTATCCATCAGTTGTTGATTGGACACGGATTGTATACAGATCTGTAGGCAGATCTGAATGAGAGCTTGAAGTTGATTGTAAAAAAGGGTCTGGTTTTAAAAGGACTAAATTTTGGTCGCCAGACAGAAGCCTGACCAAAATTACAAGGTCAAAAGTATTTAAAAATGAAACATGCAAACAATTCACAGCAAGATAAAAAAAACTTGAATTTAGAAAATAGATAGGGTGAACTCTCATTTAATGCTGACTTAAAATTAAAATAAAATTCATAAATGAACTTTTAATGCAACTATTTAATTCACATGTAAAAATCTTCATATCGAAGAAAACAAATTCATTATAGATCATGTGTAAAGTCAAGAGCAATGCTTATATTAGATTCAGAGGTTTACAAATACAATGAGACACAGGGATGAAGGCAAATTTAGTCACACAATGTCGGTTACACATTAAAGAAAATAAAAACTATTAATAAGCAAATAATTAAAACAATTAATTGTAATCTAAATGTTTGTTTCACACCGTCTAAACTGCAAGCAACAAAATGAACTAGGGATGTTCATTTCAGTTATTTTTCCTAACTGACAATCGACGCTCGTTAACCGATTGTTAACCGTTAACCGACAATATTATTTTAAATTAGAACTGAATTAAATTAGAAAGGATAAGTGTCTGTGACCCGTTAAAAATACTAACATTTGTTTCCCGGGGATTAATTTTACATGCGAAAAAAGCAGCAAACAACAGAACAGGAGGATTCACATGGTCATATCTAGGGATGCACCGATACCACTTTTTCCAGTACTCGCCCGATACCGATACTTTTATTTTTTGTACTTGCCGATACAGAGTACCGATATTTTTATTGCATTTGTAATTTTGTTTTACTTTTTTTTTTACTTTTTACATTTTTTAAATATTGGGTACAGAAACAAAAAGGGTATGTATAATGTTAATTGGTTAACTTCATTTATCAAATAGATACAGTGAAACCAAAATTTATTCAGACACCTTCAACTTTTCTCACATTATCACAGTTTATTCGCTATAGTTTAGAAAATTTTTATAAAATATGACAAGATCTCAAGAGTTAAACTGTGTCAGAACAAATTCAGCTTGATAATACTAGATAACTTTGAAAGGTATGTAATGAATTACAATCAACCAAAAATTATTCAGACAGCTGTTAGTATGACAATATTTACACAACTATCAATACTTAGTCGGGCAACCCTTAGCCTTAATGACAGCATATAGTCTCCTGGGCATGCCGTCATCCAGGTTCATGCAAACCTGAACTTCAATTTTTGAATAATTGAATAATTGTCTGAATAATTTTTGTATGTAATTTAATGTATCAGTTTTAATAGTAGTCTATATCTGACCAAACTACAAACTTTCCAGTGATGTCTGTGAGAAAGGGAAATTAACTCGACAAGCTTGCTCATGTGCGCCGCCACGCGCTCAACCCACTCAGCGTGCTTTGCTTATCAGCTCGCACACGTCAGCTATACAGGCGTTAATACTGAATTGTAACATTATATTCATTGCATACATATACTTCGTAGACATCCTTGATCTCGAATAACCATTCTGCTGTCTGTTGTATGTTGTCGGTGTTTCTTTGTCTGAATACGGCACTTATCGCATGCTGTGTGTTATCGGCGTTTGGTATCAGGGCATTTTAAAGAGTACGAGTACAGGAACTCAGTATCGGGCCCGATACCGATGCGTCCCTAACATACTCATTTTGAAAGAAATTAGTATGCATAATGTGCACGCTATGTACATATTTAGTATGCAATTGATACCTAGATTATCTACTACATTTGCTAAACTGTGCTGTATACAAGCAGAGCACACGGTGTGGAATACTATATCCCACAATGCAATGTGCTAAACTTTATCTTCAAATTATAGTATGATAAATTAATTGAAATCAATAACCCACAATTTTTAATTGCCTTTTACAAATGATTTATGTACAGAAAAGACATTTCTAGAATAATCATATTTCTGAGGTAACATGAGGATTCTAGTTGCATACAAAGTAGTGAAGTCATGTTTAAAATGTTGAGCATACCATTTTTCTAAAAAAATAGCACAAGTATACATTATAAACTGCACAGTATACAATAAGCAATCAATTTAAAACTAGCATTTAAACCAAGTGGCAACCTCCCCCTCTCTCTCGTGAAGCCAACAAGGAAGTGACTTAAACTGTAATTCATCGACTGGCCGCTAGAGGCTGACTGCAAAAGGGAGTCAATCCCATAGACTGCCCGTGTTAAAATGCCCAACTTTACAGCAGAAAAAAAACATGTATCCAGCCTGGTTCAAAAAATTATTTTGGTCTATATAGCTAATTTTGCCCTTGATGACAACTGTGAGGGGGGTGAATTTTTTTACAACTCATCCATTTAAATTATATTAAGCCTTAAAGTTCTGCATAATTAAGGGCGTGGTCACTTGAGTGACAGGTGGATTGCCGCTGCGGTCACCACCGTCGAGCTAGGTGGGCGTAGCTTCAGCAACCTGCTCCCGCCTCTTTGCCCGTTTTCGATTATCCGGGAGTGACGCGCTGCCAGAGGCGGACAAAGTACCCAACTCCCTTACTTGAGTGAAAGACACTGCTGGTCAAACATTACTTACAGATTTTTACTTAAGTAAAAGTACACAAGTACTTGCTTTTAAAAGTACTTAAGTACCAAAAGTAAATTTCCTTTTTTATGTCAATGCATTGTTTTATTGTTGTACGTAGTAGTACTTGCAATACTTCTGAAGCAACTTAGAATACATTACACCTACTGAATACACTGACTAGCTTGTAGTATATTTGGAATAAAGAGCTTTTAGAATGTTAAAAACCTATGGGGAAAACAACAAAACAAAAAAAATGTATTGAACACCCCTACCCACCCCCACAAAAGCAGGATGGTAGTGATCTCACACAGCTCTAGACACATCTATGTGTAGCCATTCATCCACATTTGAACAGAGTGGACAGTGAAATCCTGTAAATACAGAGTGATAAGGAAGAGAAAAAAAAAATCGAACCTGCTTTAAAACCCAGCAACCAACAACTGTAGCAGTATAACTTTACAACAGCAACACCGCTTTAACAAAAAAGCAAAACAGCAAGACTTATTTGACATCAAAACAAACATTTGAAATGCTGTATAATCGCTCTCGCTGTACTTTGATGTCACACACAGAACAGTCTGTGCAGTACTGCTTCAAGTCCAACACCTTTTGTGTTTTATTAGGAGATGCACAACAGTCCTTCTGTGGCTTTATAGCTAATATTTTCACTTACACAATTTAGCAAAATGTACTTAGTTACTGTCCGCCTCTGCATACACCTTTTGTGTTTTATTAGGAGATGCACAACAGTCCTTCTGTGGATTTATAGCTAATATTTTCACTTACACAATTTAGCAAAATGTACTTAGTTACTGTCCGCCTCTGCACGGTGCCAAGATGGCGACGGCCGCCTCCGCCCAATTTTGAGCTTCAAAAACGCTCTTCGGAAATCTACAGGTGACGTCACGGACACTACGTCCATGTTTTATGCAGTCTATGATTTAAACTAAACATTTTAAACAAAATTAGTATGTAGTATGCATACTTTGCACAGTATGTGTATTTTTAGTATGCATTAAATAACCAGATTGCCCACTACATTTGCAAACTGTGCTGCATACAAGCAGAGCGCACTATATATTACTACAAAATACTGTATCTCACAATGCAATATATACAAATGACATCCTACATAAATTTCTGCATATTGACCAAGTCTCCCTGAAGAAGAGATTGTGAAGTCTCAATGGGATTCTCCTGGCTAAATAAAGGATAAATAAAAAATATATATTTCTGAGGTAATAGTTGCACAAAGTAGTGACATCATGTTTTGCATACTATTTTATTAAAAACAGTACGCAGTATGCATTTTACACTGAATAGCATGCAATAACCAATCTGCTAGTAGTCAAACTCAGCATTAAAACTAAACATTAAGCCGTTTTTTTAAAACTGGATTAGTATGCAGTGTGCATACTGTGCACAGTGTTTATTTTTAGTATGCATTAAATACCCAGATCATCTAGTACTACTACTTGTTAAACTGTGCAGTATGTAAACCACAATTTAATGATTTATTAAGAATATAGAAATGGCATTTCTACATAAATTTTCATTACAAATGGATAATAATCAAATCTCTGAGGTAATAGAACTCAGCTACACCAAGTACGCAGTATGCATTTTACACTGAATAGCATGCAATAACCAATCTGCTAGTAGTCAAACTCAGCATTAAAACTAAACATTAAGCCGTTTTTTTAAAACTGGATTAGTATGCAGTGTGCATACTGTGCACAGTGTTTATTTTTAGTATGCATTAAATACCCAGATCATCTAGTACTACTACTTGTTAAACTGTGCAGTATGTAAACCACAATTTTCAATTGCCTTAAAAAGACTATTTAATTTAATGATTTATTAAGAATATAGAAATGGCATTTCTACATAAATTTTCATTACAAATGGATAATAATCAAATCTCTGAGGTAATAGAACTCAGCTACACCTAAATTAGTAAGGTCACATTTTAAATACTTTGTATACTATTTCTAAAAATAGTACACAGTATACATTATACACTGCATTGTATGTAATAAGCAGTATGCTAGTATTCCTTTTCAAACTAAGCATGCAAACTAAAATTAGTATGTAGTATGCATACTGGGCAAAGTATATGTATTTTTAGTATGCGTTATACCCAAATTATCTACTAAATGCCCTATTTGAGGTAATAACTGGACTCTGGTTGCTGAATTAAGCATGCAAAGTAGCATAAATTAGCTTAAAATGTTGTGCATACTATTTTCACAAAAACAGTACACAGTATACACTGCATAGTAAGCAATTAGCAGTATGCTTGTGTTCCATTTCAAACTCAGGAGTCTTAAAATCAGCGATATAATAGCAGAAAGCAGAATGTTTCTTGAGGGTCCGCCTATCCTGAGGTACAGGGAAAGCATCTCTCCAAGACACCATGTTACTATGCCAACCAGCTCTGCGCCTGGTACATCAGTGCTGTGTTCTCTTGTATTTATTTCAGCTCTGTGTCTCGCATTTAAGAGTGGACTGGAAACAGTAACCGTTGCCTGGTGTCATTTAGCTCTTCACTTAGCTAATAGCTAATGGAAGTTGAAAGAGTCGTGATAAAAGGCTTCATTCAAGAACGGAAGGAACGAGTATCATTTATGTAATGTGGCTCATCACGATGTGTATATGAAGACCTGAATAGAAGATGCGATATCGGTCTTAGACCAGCTTTGCTTTGCTTTTTATGTCCAAGTTGAGATTACGGTCCAGAATAGAATACTGCATCAAGAAATCCTCCTAACGCAATTTATAATGCAACAAGTAGAGTTGTATTCTCAGTGTGGCCACAGGGGGCGCTATTGCAGGTTGTGCTATAGTTAAACCTATTAACGATTTGATTTTCCTACAGAAGACCAAAGGAATGGCGTTTTACCTTATGGCTCCGGTGGTCGCAGATCTCGGTTGCCGTCGACCCTTTAAGGCACGCAATTTGTCTCCTTGCGTCATACCGAGATCGTTCTCCGCATAATCGTTCTGTTGAGAGTTAGAGAACATGTAAACGTCTGACATAATTCCAAGGAGGTGTGAATTGATTATTTCACTTTTAATAATTATTACAAAGGTCTAAAATCTGATTTACAGTATATATATGCACAGTATATCGGTGACAATATGTTTTTTTAATGTTTTTTTTTGTTAATTTATATAAATGTTTCATAATTATGTACACATTTATTTTATATTATGATGTATATTTTATATATTATATTTTATTTTACATAAATATACTTTATTATATTTATGTATATTTTTTCCTCAGTGTATAACAATTAAAACATTGATTTAAAGTAGTAAAATACTGATATAAAAATTTTGGCCAATATTGCTAGGGTGATAAATAAATAAAGGTGATGCATTTTCTGGCCAGTATTTTTTTCTGGTGATAAATATTTTCATGTTATGGCTGATAACCGATAAAATGTTGATGTTAAAAGTAATGAACACTTTTTTTTCACTCAAAAATGAAAATTTCCCCATGAGTTACTCACCTTCAAGCCATCCTAGGTGTATATGACTCTTTTGCAATCGGAATTATATTAAAAATATTCTGGCTCTTCCATGCTTTATAATGGCATTGAATGGGGGTAGAGATTTTGAAGCCCAAAAAAGTGCATCCATCCACAATAAAAAGTGCTCCACACGGCTCTGGAGGGTTAATTAAGGCCTTCTGAAGCGGATCAATGTGTTTATGTAAGAAAAATATCCATATTTAAAACTTTATAAACTGAACTCTCTAGCTTTTTATGATGGATGGATGCACTTTTTTTGGGCTTCAAAATCTCAACTCCCATTTACTGCCATTATAAAGCTTGGAAGAGCCAGAACATGTTTAATATAACTCTGATTGCATTCGTCTAAAAGAAGAAAGTTATATACCTAGGATGGCTTGATGGTGAGTAAATCAATTGTATTATTTGGGTGAACCATCCCTTTAAATTTTCCGGGGTTTTTTGCCTAAATAAATTCCACTACTCCACAAATTTGAGTTATTATTATGAATTTCTTTTTTATTTTGAATACTGATTTCAGTTACTATATATAATACTTTATAGAGAACATATACATATAACTGTAAATATATTTAATTCAATTAAAAAAGATATATGCATTTAGACAAATACACACACTAATTTAAAATGTAAACAAAAAACTACATTCGTTTTAAATGCTACAAGTGAATGTAGGCATCATAACCGTTTACATACTGAAATGAGCATAAACAATTAAATACCCATTATTAACCACTGCAATAAATAAAAAATCCCTAATATATCGGCCGATAATTGATATGGTACTGTCAAATTATGCATCCCTAATTTAAATTTAAAAATATGGCCCAGCAGGTCTCACCTCCTCCATACGGTCCAAGCTGTGTGATTTAAAGATGGAGGTGCTGATGGACAGGTTGTCCATACTGGAGATGAGGTGAGGCACGGATCTGTCCTCATACTGCCGCTGCTTGGAGCGGTGAATATCTCCATGCGCCCAGAGACTCGTCTGCTTCCTGTACAGGTACAAAGAGTACAGTCCCCCCATCAATGTCCTGTGCATATCTTGTTTTGCACAAATAATTCAGACGTATGGGAAGAAATCTGGTCTCAGACCGAACCATTCATTCAATGCCAATGTCAGATAACGGATACTTTGAGTCCAGCCCGCAGGAACAGAATCTCACACGTCTCACAATGGCCTAAGGAGGAAAATATGCCTGAAGATAACGTTCATCTGTCCCACGGTGGGCATTCTCTTATGCTGCGGTCCGCAGCATCGTGTCAGCCCAACAAAACACTTGAGAGATTAGCTTCAACTGGCCTTCACATGACCAGTGCTCTGTTTTAACTCAGACATGACAGAAGTGAACCATGGTCTAGTTATATGGTGCACGAAAGGCCTTACAGACATACGCACACTGAATCAGACTCAAAGTACACTCCTTTTCCCAAGCCAGAGTTGGATGATTCAGCCAGATCTGGAACATCTGCTGACCTTCCTGATCTGCTTAGCGAAGGAGTGCGCTCTTGAAAAACGCTCTTACGCTTTTGAAAATACACGACTCTGAGCCAAAGTTAGAGCAAAAAGTCTCAAGAAGGTGTGAAGGGGCCAAAAGTGGTGCATTGTGGTTACATTTTGGGACTTACTCTTCTAGGTAATGCTGCTGGGGTCCAATAATAGAGCCGGGTCTGCAAATGCGGATCCAAGCGATGGCTTCGGCAGGCGTGAAGCGATAGTGCTTCATCAGGTAGCAGCCAATCAGAGTCCCCGTCCGGCCCAAACCCGCTGTGATTGGTTGGAAAAAGGTGTTAGGTGTTTAAAATACATGTATTATTATATAAAATTATCTATTAAAAACTAACTGCTCTTAAAAACTAATTTTTTAGGGGCTCATTCATGCAATTCTAAGGTATCTTAAGACCACATTACCATAACATTAATGAACGTTTTGGTTCGCTTTCAGTTCCTGTGAAATCAAACTACAGAAAACCTTTTATCTTTGAGTCTGACCTCAATAATAGGGCATTTTAATGTTTAATGCTACATAAAAAACAAAGCCATTTTGACAACAATTATCCTCTTTTTGCACAAAATAAGTCAATGAGACGACACTGTCATTTGTGTGGCCGTATTTCCATGTCTTTGATTTAAGTGGCGTCTCACCCTTGCAGTGAACCGCCACCGCTCCATCCGTGCTCTCGCAGACGTGCAGGAAGCGGCGGGTGATGACATCGCTGGGCGTGCTGCCGTCCACGAAGAACAGGTCGTAATGGTCGAAACCGGCATCTGTGAAGCGCTTGGCATCGTAGATGTTCTTGTTGAGGCGTACTATGGTGGTGACATCGTGCTTGCGGAAATATGGGAAATAAGCCTCGGGGGCATGTAGAGGGTAACCTGCCACACACGAGATCAAGAATACATATATATATATATATATACATATACATACATACACACATATATACAGTATGTATATATATATATATACACACAAACACAAACATTTTTATAAAAATAAAGCTTCAGTTTTTACATATTTTTTGCTATAAAACTGCAATCAATAAATATTTATTAAGTTATAATAAATAAATATAAACATTTATTTAGTGAATATATAACAAATCACCCAATTAAACTGCCATGCAAGAGAAGAGAAAGTTTACTTAAAAATATATTTTTAAAAATAAAATTATGTAAATAAATATACATTTTATATACATTTCCTATATTTAAATATAATAATATAGGAAATAATAATTAAATGTTTTTTTAATGTGTATTAAAAATTACATATTTTGAATAAAATACAATAAATATATATATAATTAAATATGTAAAATATTTTCCATATTATTATATATAATATGGGAAATAATAATTTAAAAATATGTTTATTAAATACATATATTAATTTTTTTTTAAAATTTAAAATGTAAATATATATAATTACATTTATAATATTTCCCATATTTAAACATAATATGGAAAACAATTCTATATTTATTTATATTTAATTAAATACATCATATAATTTATAAATATAAACACAATTTATAAATATTAAATACATCATATAATTACCATATTTAGATATAATATGGGAAATAATTATTCCAAATATTTAAATATACAATAAACGTCCCATTAACCGGTCACAAAAAGGAAGTACATCCATACACATGCAATAAAAAAAGACTTAAAAAAAAAAACATTTTATATTTAGGATGAAGGACTTAAATCCCTATGAACCCTAACTGAACCATTTGCTCTACTACTTTTATCATGATATCTAATATCTAATGTTGCACTCTCTAGTTCTGTGTGTGTGAATCTGAGACATCAGTGTTTATTATAACAAGGGTGCCCTCTACTGTCACATAATTTAATTACATCAAACATCATGTCAGAGAAAAGTGCTTAAATGAATACAACATTCGGCTAAAGGATGGCAAGCAACCTTACCGTTCTCTATTTTACTTTTCGGATGCGGCCCACTGAAAGCGAGAAGTTTGCCTGGGATGATCCAGTTCAGATCTCCGTTCTCAACCCTCTGAAGGGCAAAAAAAGAAAATTAGAGAGAGAAAATATGTTAAAAAGGGATGGAAAAGAATAAAGATTTAGGGAAAAAGAACAAAACAGAACTGAGGCAGGAAGGTTTGTATTACAGCCGATGGAGTATGTTTTATATTGGGTGAGTTGTGCTGTCCTGAACCGCAGGGTCGCTCAAGACTGTCGTAACCCCTCCAAAGCGGAGGGCACAGCAGGTGACGGATTACCACAAGCTGGAAAATTTGCATGATACTAAAGGACAAATCAACTGAATGCTCATTTGGCATGAATTGTTCCAGCGATTGTCTAAATAACAGCTGAGATTATAAACACAGGTAGGCAACATATAATCACGTTGACTTCAGCGAGCTGCACACAATGTGTGCGATTTAAATCAAATTGAACAAGCAGAGATTATCATTAGGTTAAAATGTCTTTGGTTCCTGGTGGAATAAACATGATTATGTAACTGGCTTGAGGAGCAATGAACAGAATTCTGGGTAAAACACTGCATGCTGGTTTGCCTAATGAGCATTTAATAACGATGGGGCATCATTACCTCGTAATGTTCATACTCGTTTACGTCGAACGTCTCAAAGTTCAAGAATCCGTGCTGAAGGGCCTGAAAAAGAAAGTTTATAAGCATTAGTCATATGCTAACTGCAAACGTGTGCATTCATACAGTGGATTTCACCTGAAAGTCACAAAAAAATCCTTTATCCGTCTGATTGTTTAACCAATTAGTCAGTGTAATGGGGCTGAAGCGGTCTGTCTGGTGCTCAGTGAAGAGCTGCGGGGGATGTCGATTAAGGAAAAAGGCACATGAGTCGATAAGCTGTGGCAGAGAGCGATGGGGGCTGCGTCTAATGGAGTGTCTGGTTTCTGCTTCTCACGGACACGTCTGCCTCTGACAAAACTGGTTAAAATCGTACAAAGCGATGTTTTTGTTTTGCTGACGCTACTCACTTTGTTAATAACTAATATGGCAGTAATATCGGACTTTATAATGCTGTATAATGGCAGTGGAGGTTAATGGCAGTCAAGGTTCTCTGTTACGGATACCTTATTCTGCCATGCAAAAGGCAGTAACAATACTGTAAAAACTGACTGAAATTGAGTCTCTTAACTATTAATTATGATTAGCTCATCTGTGTTCAGATTCAGAGAAAATATGGAGTGACAAACAGTTTTCTTCACTTTCAGTGTAGTTGCTGCTTTTTGTCATTGTAGGGATCCAAGTTCAAAGACAAACATGTCAAGCAAGAACAGCTCAACATTTGGATGGACCACTTGTCCAATTTTGTACATTTATATTTAATGTTTTGTAAAGAAAAAAATAAAGCTCAACAAATTATGAATATTTATTAAATAGATATAAATATAAAATCAAGAATTTTTAAAACAAGACAGACATTTTAAAAATGTATATAATTTAATATTTGTAAAAGTATTTTTAATATATTATAATAATAATAATAATAATAATATAAATATAGTAAAATAATATTTTTAAATATATTTTTTCTCTTCACTTTTGAAAAATATATATATATATACACATTAAATAAAATGCATATAGTGTGTTATTATAATCATATTATATCATATGTATTTGTATATTATTATATTATTTTGTAACTTTCTTCACTATTTTTCTGTGAGAAAAACAATTATGGTTTAGAAAAATTGTTAAAAATATAATAATAATAATAATAATACCTTTATGTTTTTGGCAAATATATACAAAAAAATACATATATAAAAACTCACAAAAATATAAAAGGAAATGTATATAAATTATTATTATTATTTAAAGAACGTAATTTATACCAAATATAAATACATGGTCCTGAACCGCAGGACATATACATATATACACATCTACATATACACATACATATATATATACATATATATACACACACACACATACATACATATATGTATATGTATATTTACATCAAATAAAAACATTTGTTAAATTACATTGCTAAAATTACAAATATATCATTCTTTCATATATATATATATATATATATATATAATATATATATATATATATACATATACATACATACACACATATATACAGTATGTATATATATATATATACACACAAACACAAACATTTTTATAAAAATAAAGCTTCAGTTTTTACATATTTTTTGCTATAAAACTGCAATCAATAAATATTTATTAAGTTATAATAAATAAATATAAACATTTATTTAGTGAATATATAACAAATCACCCAATTAAACTGCCATGCAAGAGAAGAGAAAGTTTACTTAAAAATATATTTTTAAAAATAAAATTATGTAAATAAATATACATTTTATATACATTTCCTATATTTAAATATAATAATATAGGAAATAATAATTAAATGTTTTTTTAATGTGTATTAAAAATTACATATTTTGAATAAAATACAATAAATATATATATAATTAAATATGTAAAATATTTTCCATATTATTATATATAATATGGGAAATAATAATTTAAAAATATGTTTATTAAATACATATATTAATTTTTTTTTTAAATTTAAAATGTAAATATATATAATTACATTTATAATATTTCCCATATTTAAACATAATATGGAAAACAATTCTATATTTATTTATATTTAATTAAATACATCATATAATTTATAAATATAAACACAATTTATAAATATTAAATACATCATATAATTACCATATTTAGATATAATATGGGAAATAATTATTCCAAATATTTAAATATACAATAAACGTCCCATTAACCGGTCACAAAAAGGAAGTACATCCATACACATGCAATAAAAAAAGACTTAAAAAAAAAAACATTTTATATTTAGGATGAAGGACTTAAATCCCTATGAACCCTAACTGAACCATTTGCTCTACTACTTTTATCATGATATCTAATATCTAATGTTGCACTCTCTAGTTCTGTGTGTGTGAATCTGAGACATCAGTGTTTATTATAACAAGGGTGCCCTCTACTGTCACATAATTTAATTACATCAAACATCATGTCAGAGAAAAGTGCTTAAATGAATACAACATTCGGCTAAAGGATGGCAAGCAACCTTACCGTTCTCTATTTTACTTTTCGGATGCGGCCCACTGAAAGCGAGAAGTTTGCCTGGGATGATCCAGTTCAGATCTCCGTTCTCAACCCTCTGAAGGGCAAAAAAAGAAAATTAGAGAGAGAAAATATGTTAAAAAGGGATGGAAAAGAATAAAGATTTAGGGAAAAAGAACAAAACAGAACTGAGGCAGGAAGGTTTGTATTACAGCCGATGGAGTATGTTTTATATTGGGTGAGTTGTGCTGTCCTGAACCGCAGGGTCGCTCAAGACTGTCGTAACCCCTCCAAAGCGGAGGGCACAGCAGGTGACGGATTACCACAAGCTGGAAAATTTGCATGATACTAAAGGACAAATCAACTGAATGCTCATTTGGCATGAATTGTTCCAGCGATTGTCTAAATAACAGCTGAGATTATAAACACAGGTAGGCAACATATAATCACGTTGACTTCAGCGAGCTGCACACAATGTGTGCGATTTAAATCAAATTGAACAAGCAGAGATTATCATTAGGTTAAAATGTCTTTGGTTCCTGGTGGAATAAACATGATTATGTAACTGGCTTGAGGAGCAATGAACAGAATTCTGGGTAAAACACTGCATGCTGGTTTGCCTAATGAGCATTTAATAACGATGGGGCATCATTACCTCGTAATGTTCATACTCGTTTACGTCGAACGTCTCAAAGTTCAAGAATCCGTGCTGAAGGGCCTGAAAAAGAAAGTTTATAAGCATTAGTCATATGCTAACTGCAAACGTGTGCATTCATACAGTGGATTTCACCTGAAAGTCACAAAAAAATCCTTTATCCGTCTGATTGTTTAACCAATTAGTCAGTGTAATGGGGCTGAAGCGGTCTGTCTGGTGCTCAGTGAAGAGCTGCGGGGGATGTCGATTAAGGAAAAAGGCACATGAGTCGATAAGCTGTGGCAGAGAGCGATGGGGGCTGCGTCTAATGGAGTGTCTGGTTTCTGCTTCTCACGGACACGTCTGCCTCTGACAAAACTGGTTAAAATCGTACAAAGCGATGTTTTTGTTTTGCTGACGCTACTCACTTTGTTAATAACTAATATGGCAGTAATATCGGACTTTATAATGCTGTATAATGGCAGTGGAGGTTAATGGCAGTCAAGGTTCTCTGTTACGGATACCTTATTCTGCCATGCAAAAGGCAGTAACAATACTGTAAAAACTGACTGAAATTGAGTCTCTTAACTATTAATTATGATTAGCTCATCTGTGTTCAGATTCAGAGAAAATATGGAGTGACAAACAGTTTTCTTCACTTTCAGTGTAGTTGCTGCTTTTTGTCATTGTAGGGATCCAAGTTCAAAGACAAACATGTCAAGCAAGAACAGCTCAACATTTGGATGGACCACTTGTCCAATTTTGTACATTTATATTTAATGTTTTGTAAAGAAAAAAATAAAGCTCAACAAATTATGAATATTTATTAAATAGATATAAATATAAAATCAAGAATTTTTAAAACAAGACAGACATTTTAAAAATGTATATAATTTAATATTTGTAAAAGTATTTTTAATATATTATAATAATAATAATAATAATAATATAAATATAGTAAAATAATATTTTTAAATATATTTTTTCTCTTCACTTTTGAAAAATATATATATATATACACATTAAATAAAATGCATATAGTGTGTTATTATAATCATATTATATCATATGTATTTGTATATTATTATATTATTTTGTAACTTTCTTCACTATTTTTCTGTGAGAAAAACAATTATGGTTTAGAAAAATTGTTAAAAATATAATAATAATAATAATAATACCTTTATGTTTTTGGCAAATATATACAAAAAAATACATATATAAAAACTCACAAAAATATAAAAGGAAATGTATATAAATTATTATTATTATTTAAAGAACGTAATTTATACCAAATATAAATACATGGTCCTGAACCGCAGGACATATACATATATACACATCTACATATACACATACATATATATATACATATATATACACACACACACATACATACATATATGTATATGTATATTTACATCAAATAAAAACATTTGTTAAATTACATTGCTAAAATTACAAATATATCATTCTTTCATATATATATATATATATATATATATATATATCTCTCTCTCAGAATGACCATGGGTTACCACATTTCAAGAATGGTGTTCGTCTAGTCACATGACCTCAAGATGACAGCCATCATAAGGAGAGATTGTTGTAGTCTATGTTTATTTTGTGCACCTATCAGAAGCAGTATGGAAACAGACGACTGAGAAACTGTCACTGCAACCATCCAACAGTGAAACATGCTGTCCTGAGCTGCAGGGTTGCACCAGACAGTCAAAACCTAATCAAGGCTGATAGAGGGCACAGCAGGTGAGTGATTATCGCAAGCTGGCAAAGTTACATCACGCTAATGGACCAATCAGCGAAGCGTGTTAAGGTATGAAACTTTATAACTTTTTTTTTTTTACAAATAATTCACACTGAAGTCCACACATGCAGACGTACAACAGGCAGCTGTGTCTGTTTACTCCATCTGGGTGAAGCGAAATATGTGTGTGCATCTGATACAGTGAGCCGTCTCGCTCTCAGGCTGTGGTTATGTAACTGTTCCTGGTCAGGTTTAATCGAATGAGTCCAGCCGCCCTCCTCCCCTCCACAGCTGACTGGACGAAGAGCTTACAGCAGCAATCCTCTTCTGCAGCGTCAACGGACGGTATGGACGAGCTGCGCTTAATTACTACCAACATGGCCTAAATCTCAAGTCTCCTCGTTTTACCCTTGCAGTGGTAATGGTGGAGCCTTGTGGTTAAAGATCTGGGCTGGTAATCTAGCGATCTTCACGGTGTCATTGATTGAGACACTTAACCTCGGGATGCTCCACGGAGGATTGTCACTGTAGTAGCGTATTAGAAATCGCTTCAGGTAAAAAGCTTGAAGATAAAATGTGGTTAGCGTTCAAAAAAGTAGCTTAAACAATGTCCAAATAGCTACTGGCGTGTTTTAGAGGGAGTAATTACATATTACACATACAGTTTAATACATGAGATATTAAGTCGCAATTACGAGAAAAAGTTAATGTTTCTCGTAACTGCGACTCTCTCACAGTGCAACATCTCACAATTGCTATATTGCTTCTTACAGTTTGCAACTCGCTCCTTACAACTGTGATTTCATCTCCTACAATGCGTCTATCCAAAAATTGCAATATTGTGAGAAAAGTTCAAATTGTTTTTCGTAATTCCGAATTTTTGTGACACTTCACAATTGCTACATCGTTTCTGAAAATTTGAAACATTTTCCTCATACTTGTGACTTCATTTCAAAAACTGCGATATTGTGAGACAGTCACAATTACGAGAAACGAGTCTGCAATTATGCGAAAAATAATAGTTTCTCGAAATTGCGACTATTTCTCACAATGTGACATCTAACATCGTTTCTAGACTGTTTGCAACTTTTTCCTTTTAATTGCAACTTCATATCTCACACAATCTTCCTCAATTCCGACTTTGTATCTTGGACAAATTGACTGCCTAAATATTGTATTTTTTGGAGATAGTCACAATTGTGAGAAAAGTTATAATTGTTTGTCCTAACTTTTCCTCACTGCTTTATTGTTTTGGACAATTTGCAACGTTTTCCTCATAGCTGCGACTCCATATCTCACAATGTGACTTCATATCCAAAAATTGTGCTAGTGAGATCACAAATATGAGAGAAACACAATTACGAGAACCAAGTTTGCACTTATGAGGACTTTTCACAATGTGACATCTGACTTTCTGACAATTAGCAACTTTTTATACATAATTGCAGGTTCATATCACAAAAACACGAGTCACAATTTTGAGTTATAATTTAGAATAATTTGCAATGTTTTCCTCATAATTGCGATTTCATTTTGTCACAATTAAGAAAAACATTTGCATTTATGAGAAAGTCAATTATTTCTCGTAATTACAGCTTTATTTCTTACAACATTGTTTCTCACAAATTGCAACTTCATAACTCAGTGTGATTTAATTTTATAAACTAAAGTCGTTATTACAAGAAGCAAATTTGCAATAGAAAAAGTCAAATTGTGAGTTACAAAGTCACATTGTGGAATGTAAAGTCACAATGACAAGAACAATTGCCTCCCGGTAAAATTGTGGTAAATTTCATGTTAACTTTAAAAGATAGCTCTCTGTGGGGTTTGAACCTACAACATTTTGGTTACCAGTCCAGATGTTTAACCATTAGGCAAACCCAAAAACAAAAGAACAGCTCTCATATGTTGGCAAACAGGGCATTTCCTCCTCTTTGGCAGCTGGAGAGAGGCAGCAGTGGTGATTTGATCATTAACAGGATTCAGTGTTTATCACACTCTCAGATGCGGTGTATGACTCATGCAATTAAGGAGCTGTTAAAACAAGCTGTTAATTAGAGCCAAAAGGAAGGCACTGATAAAACTGTCACATACGTCTACAACTACCATCTTAACAGCAAAGCACAGGATGACATGAGGGCCCAAAGGTCTTGAAAATGTAACATTTTAAAAGGATGAAGAATGTTTTATAAAATGGTAATTTTTAAAAAATGCTTAAACAATCAATTTGTTGACCATCTTGCCCACTCCTACTAAAAACTTGCCGTGATTTAATAAGCAATAGTTAAGGAGGGATGAGTATGCTGTTGGATGATGCTGCTGTTTTTCTTTGACGTAGGCTGAATGAAAAGAGAGTTTATGTAGCGTAAAGGATGTTTTTTTTTTAATGACAAGCATGTAGGAATGCACTCAAGAATGCACGCTGTACGTGTTTAACAAGTCTTTCTGGCGGGTCAAGCTGAAGACACAGCAGCAGCCAAACACGTCAGCAGGTATCGATGAGTTACTCACGTGAACACTATTTACCTGCCAGCTAGTTTGACAACTTTGTGCAAAGAACTGAATAGAAATACCTTATTACACAGCAATGTTTGTTTTGGCAGAGCCTAGAAAGAGTCTGGAGTGACATTCTTTCCAAACTGCAATGAAGACTGATTATACAGGTTATGAGATGTTTTTAAAATGTCTTATTTGAAAATATATATATATATATATAAAAAAAAAGGAGTATTCAGACAGCTCCAGACAATTTTGCACACTTTGCATTATGTTACACTCTACTATTTAAAAGTCTGGGGTCAGTAAGATTTTTAAGCATTTTTATAAGTAGTCTCTTATGCTCATTAAGTCTGCATTTATTAGATCAAAAACACAGTAAAAACAAGAATATTGTAAAATATTATTACAATTTTAAATAACTTTTTTATTTGAATATATTTTTAAAAATGCAATTTATTCCGGTGATGCAAAGCTGAATTTTTAGCATCATTACTCCAGTCTTCAGTGTCACATGATCCTTCAGAAATCATTCTAATATGCTGGTTTGCTGCTCAAGAAAAATGTATTACCATTATCAACGCTGAAAACAGTTGTGCTATTACAAAATTTGTGCAAACCAAAGATTCCAAAAGAAAGAATTTGAAATAGAAAGCTTTTATAAATGTTCTTTACTGTCATTTTTGCTAAATTTAATGCATCTTTGCTGAAAAAAAATAAAAAATACCAATTTCTTTTTAAAATCTTACGGACCTCAAACTTTTGATTGGTAGGAAAAACGGGGAAAAATTCCCCACCTAAGAAATCACATTGTAATTGGATTTCAAAACAAATATTGATCTGGTTTGTTCATTTCAAGTAGCCTTTTGCTGTTAAGAATACAAAACAAAATGTATTTGAGGCAGATACACCAAAAAACTGACTGCCTATTTGAACAAAAACACAAAAAAGCTGTCATCAAGAAAGTCTTCAGCTCACACACTCTCACACCTGCAAACAGACAGTCAGAGAAAGACTGTACAATAGGGGCCTGAAGAGAGATTCATTGCCCCTGCAGCTCAAACTGAAGACACCTGTTGTGTTATATAAGCTATCAGCAGCATAACCTGCCTGAAGCACTTTTTCCAACACGTAGACACAAATGTTCTTGCCTAATGTACAGGTTTCCAGTCTCACACTGACTGTCCAAGAAGGATTAAGCACTCTATTAGTTTCTATGGGTATAATCCAGGATTGTGTGTATTCTTGAGCGCTGAAACACTTAAACCCAAATCTTTCTAGCTAATGTAGTCTGACAGATGAATTTGCATTAGTTATTAGAAAATAAAACATTACTTATCAAATTAGCTTGATGATAATAATAAAAATTTTAAATGTCTATATATATATATATATATATATATATATAGTATTTATTTTCTAATTCATTTTTTAATTGTGGAAATATTATAAATATTTTATTTTATATTTTGTGAAATAATACATTATTATATATAATATGGTGAGGTTAAAATATTTGTATAGTACTACAGTGTACATCTCACCTTCCTAATGCCTTGCAAGCAGTCGAGAACTGTCAGGTTGTATGTGCAATTCCCAAATGAAGCATCCCTGAAAGAGAAAAGAGAAGGCATGTTAAAATTGCGTGGGTGTATTCACACAATATAATAAAAAAGAAACACCCACAGGAATATAAACAAGAACATCAAGTCATGTTATGAGCAAAGAAGGGGAACACAGACACTGATTTCAAACTGACTCTCAGGTGGTCTGCTTTCATCCGGAGTAAACCATTACCTGCCCATGAATACAAGTAACTGGGTCAGGGCCTTTGTGTTTGGATGTGGGAGTGAAAGTAAAGCGGCAGGCGAGACTGTGTTGGCTTTTGTCATGTGTTTTTAAAGAAAGAAAACCTTGCAGTGGAGAGTGTACACGTGGGCAACCTGTAACATGATGGGTTACATCTACAAAGTCAAGGCGAAATTAATGTCATGAACAAGATTGTTTTGATCACATGTATGAGGAAGTCCAATTCAGGTTTGTTTGCGTTTTGTTCACATGTATGAGAAAGTCAAATTCAGGTTTGTTTGTGTACCCAAAATGATGTTATTGGATCAAGGGAAATGAGGGTTGTAATGAAATGCCTCAGAAACTAAAAGGGGCCAATACACCATCCCTTGCCTAACGCATGTCAAAGAACAGGTTCTTTGTGTCCGCTTTAATTGAGTTTTGCATTATGCATGCGCTTAATTCACTGTGTATGATGCAGGCTGGGTTGCATAAAAAGAGGGTCAGTGTTCTGCTGGGATCCTTTCATTTGTCTCCCAGTGTGCCTCAATGGAAAGTATCAGGCTCCATTGACCCACACAAACACCACATACTCGCATATGCAAACCCTTAACTTCCAGAGGTCTTGTGTATTGGTCCACTGCTTCAAGGTAACAAAATCATTAGACTTGATAACTCTACCATAAGTAGGTTGATTTTTTTGAGGAGCAAAGAATGATTTTCAAAGCAATGTTTCCATTTTAAGTTCCTTAATATTCCCCTTAAATCAAAAGTGCCTGCAAAAAAAAACATGGTTTGAACTCGCAACTTTCGGTTACTAGCCCAGATGTTTAACCACAAGGTTTTACCACCACCAACTCAAATATGAAGAAAAAAAAAACACTAATAAACAAGCACAGTCATCTTTTAAAAAAAACAAAAGGAAACAAGAAAACCAAGGCAAGTTTCCAACAGAGCTTTGCAGAAAATTGTCTTTTGTTCACACAATTATCTGTACCATATACTGTCAGCAGGATCCAAGATATGTTTGGAGAAACAGCCAGAGACTTTCCCACCAGCCAAAGGCTCATTCATCTTCCTTCCCACAGCACAGAGAAATGTTGAGCTAATCGATTTGGCTGTAGAAACACAGTGGCTTACTGGCACCAATTAAAGACTTACATCCTGAGGATTATGTAATGTCTCACCTCCGGGAGTGGAGGCCAGGAGATAGACAAACCTCATTTAAAACAGCACATCTTTGTCCACTTTTAATTTACAAATTGGTCATTCAGTAGATGCTTTCATTCAAAGAGACCTGCAATGCATTACAAGGACAGTCCCCCCCCTTGGTTTTGCCCCTTGTGGGGTCTGGAACTTTCGGCGATCAGCCCAAAACTCAAATCTCTAGACTAGACAATATGACAGACAGTTTTGAACAAGCAATTACAGGTTCAAGAGCCATTACCATAAGTGGTAAGTCAAACAATGGTATCTCATGGGAATGCATCCACTTCAAATTGGTTTCTCCAAAAAAAAAAAAGTTATCAGAGAGGGCTGGTCAAGGCATTCACATATAGCTAAATCTGCTTCTTTACAGTCTTAGGTTGGGTTCAAAAGGCTGGAATGAGCAGAGCTGTTAAGCACAGGGTGTGTCCTGGGGCGAGCACTGTAGAGGAGCAAAGCAGAACAAGCTTACAAATGCATGGTATCTCATGGGAATGCATCCACTTCAAATTGGTTTCTCCAAAAAAAAAAAAAGTTATCAGAGAGGGCTGGTCAAGGCATTCACATATAGCTAAATCTGCTTCTTTACAGTCTTAGGTTGGGTTCAAAAGGCTGGAATGAGCAGAGCTGTTAAGCACAGGGTGTGTCCTGGGGCGAGCACTGTAGAGGAGCAAAGCAGAACAAGCTTACAAATGGCAAAATCACAAGCAGCACTTTAGTGCCGTTACGTAACCACCGCCACAGACATGATTTGTTTTAGCAGATACAGATTTATGGCCACAGTAGTGGATTCTGTAATCATACAGGGTCAAGGTTCCTCAGAGACTTAGAAGGCTGGGTAACTTCATGATTCAAATATGATTTAATAAGTCTAAAAGCTTTCAATGACCACCACAACTTGGCAAGACAGATACGGCTTAGCAGACCTGAAGCTGAATGAAAGAAAGAAATGACATGGCAATGAAAGCCCAAGAGAGGAATTCTGATTGGATTTTTTTTATTAGATGACCCAAGAACTGGTGGAAAAACAGACAAGACATGATTGTATGCAAGGTCTTGGTGATGTAATGTGCCAGTGATCGAACAAGGAAGGAATACATGAGTTCATTTTATTAAATCTGGCATACACATTTACAGTGAAACTGTAAATAAACAGGAAACACAATCTCGGAAGCGAAACCCACCCTTGTGCATACAGGACTGGGTGTGGAGTTCCACAAAGAGACCCAGAAGACTATATTACTCTATCTTGCTTTATCAGGATTAGTTGGTCTCAAATGGACAAAAAAAACTGGACTAAATCTTGCCATACAGGGCAGAGTAGGACTTGCTTACTTCCTCTGGAAGACTGCCACTGCTTTCCTCTTAGTATTGCCAAATATTTGGGCAGACAGAGAAAGATTCTTCCCTCTTCTTACATAATGGGAGAGCAATGCCAAGGTCTGAACTGTCCACTGTAGACTGAAGCCCCCCATCCGAGTCACTAGAGCAGTGTCTCCAAACTTGTGTAACAATTGCACACCGGTTCACTTGAATGTAGATTACACTCCCAACAAACCATCTGAACTATCAGGTTACTTGAAACGTCATCCTAAATATACATTGCTTGAAAACAATAACTTCAGGTCATGTTGTGCATACCATTATTAGGTGTATACTTGTAGGTTATGTAAGTATATTTCCAAGTATGGCTTGGTGTGGAAAAGCGCTCTGCAACCAAGATCAATGTGCAGACATTTTGGCTGGATAGCAAGCCATTGCTTATGTAAGATGGATGAAAACCTTACATTCCAGAGTGCCCTGAATGTGAGGCTACTTTCTAGCCACAATGATCCAGAATGGATCAGCCAAAGGTCAAGTCCACAGCTAAAAATAGTCTCAAAAAGTGGCCATCTAAAATCCATTCAAGCCCTGTTCCTGGAACAAGAAAAATGTGATGGAAGAGGCGCAGCATGTTATTATTTTCTGAATTAAACTTACCTTTTTATCCAACATCTCGTTGTAGTTTCTTCCTCTGGTGAAGTACTCAAACATGGGTCTCACACAGAGCTTCACTTTATTCAATGTTATGACCCATTCATTGTTTCCCATCAGGACCCCCTTCTCTCTCATAGATAACAAAACTGTTTACTTTCTGAATTAACCAATTGCTAAGCATTGCATAACCATGTCGCACTGTTTGTCTCCACGAGTAGCATGGCTCCAGCAGCCAAGTGGGGGGAGCACTGACAAAGCGCTTTTCTTCCCTTGCGCAGCTACGCCACTAACAATCACATCTTTGTGGAGAAACAAGAGCCCAATTAACCTTCAAGATGGACAGGACGGCAAACAGAGAAAAAGAAGTGCCATAAGAGGCACGAGTAGTAAACGTACTGCAGGATTTTATCAGGGTTGGGGAGTAACAGAATACATGAAAGGGCATTACGTAATCAGGATACAAAAAAAAAAAAACTGGTAACTGTAATTCGTTATAGTTATGTGAAAAAAAAAAGGTAATCAGATTACAGTTACATTTTGTAAAAACTGGGAATACGAAAGGGCATTACGTAATCAGGATACAAAAAAAAAAAAACTGGTAACTGTAATTCGTTATAGTTATGTGGAAAAAAAAAAAGGTAATCAGATTACAGTTACATTTTGTAAAAACTGGGAATATGATCAGAATTGCAAAGTTTCATTTAAATAAGAAATAATTGAGGACAGGCCATTGAATTATTAGAAAATAATGATCCGAGATGGTGATGCGGCCATGACGCAAAGCGTTATTAATGCAGTTATGACAGAGAGAGAGAGAGAGAGAGAGAGAGAGAGAGAGACACAGAGAGATTAAGCGTGTGTGAATTACACGAGTCAGTGTTTTTCGGCAGTGTTCAGCAGCAGCGTCTCTACTGATATCGAAACTGTAATACATCTGCTTCAATAACAGCGCTGTTATTACCTCAGTAGTGAGAAATATCATGTAGCCTTTAACTGCTAAACTTTTTTACTGATAAAATCGTCAGAGCAGTGCTCAACACATTTCTGTGTGCATGAATGTTTCCGTGTGTGCAAAAGTGTGTCTGTCTTGTATGTATGTGCGTTTGAGAGAGAGAGAGAGAGAGAGAGAGAGAGAGCAGGAGATGTGCTTTCCATACATAATACAACTTTGTGGCAAAAACATGGAAATAATTAGTCTTTTTAATTCTATTGTTTAATATATTTATTTGTTTGGCCATTGTCGTTGCAGGTTTGGGTTATTTTCCCATTGTATAAGGACCTTTGAAATATTAACGAAGTGAGATGGACATGTACTAACACCATGTCGAAGCAAAATGTCCGATGACCACATGGAGCAAGTCCTCTTCAGTGCATCTGTTCTTAATTTATATTTGCTTGAGAGAGAAAAAAATGCACATTTGTATTCTGTATTTTTCTGTTGCAGAAACATTTCTGTTGTTTCTGGTTTCATTGCAGAGCATAGTTACAACTACATGGCATTTTCTTAAGTATTTTATATTATGCATCAAATAGTTTATATTTAGCATCATATCCATAATAAATCTAAGCATTTTTAATGATATTGCCTGTTTTTAGTTTTTTTAAGTAACCCTCCCAAACCTGGATTTTATACACAATGATTAAAAGAACCAGCAGACCCGCTGTTTCCTTTAGGACGTGAGTCTTAGTAGTTTAACCTTCTAATCCTGCCCTAACCAGGTCCATAAAACAAGTGTACCATTCATGTTTAAAAAATTTTGTGTGACATTCACAATGTCTGGTACACAATAAACAGGATTAAACAATAATGACAATAATGGTGACCTAGATGCCACTGAACATTAAAACTGGCAAAGATAAATAGTTACTTTCCTGCACGTGCAGACAAGCCCAGACAGCAGTTATGGTTTTATAAACTAGGTCAGTTTTAAATATTGTAACGAGTAAGTGTCTTGACTTGAAAAAGATTAAATAGTTAAGAAATGCCATATGAAAGGCATCATTTCATGACCAAATATTTTATTTAATAATATTAAATGTTTTGCACACATCAAGATGAGTACTAAACAGTACTAAACACTAAATAAATGCTATATATAATATTTAAAAATCCATTTTTACAGGAAAAAAATTAACTGAATTCAAAACAAACTAGTCAAAATATTTTCTGAGAATGACTCAACTGTTACTCAAAAGGAAGTGTTGGATAAAGGTTAATCTTTTGAGAAGTAAAGTGCAAGAGCATTTGATCTCATGCCCACAAAGAGTGAATAAACAATAGATGTGTTGACCAATAAACCCACTAACGAGTAACATAAATCCTTCTGGTTTCAGAGACCAATGATGGTCAATAAGTTAAAAAATTATGACATGAAAGTATGTCAGATGTGTATGTCAGTATGTGTCAGAAAGAAAACCAAATAGGGATTTCAGCCTTCTGGGAAAAGCACTAATAACTGTACAGTAAAAAATAAAGCTAATGTTTCCTGTTTGCATTCAGAGACTGACGCTCCCTTTGTTTGGAGGCCAGAGCTAATCTATACCGGAAGCACTTACAGCCCATCTCAGAAAGCACGGCTAAAAGCAACATGGGACTGCACTGAAAATGACAGATTTAGAAAATGTAGGCCTCTTCACTACTCAGTGTATACGGCTCTGAATAATTAGTCAACGAGAGTCCACTTTAACAATGAGTGCTTCTGTTCGATGAGGCCATGGGTCACCCCGTCTTTCTACGTGTCCCTCATTATATATGTGAGCATACCAGAATATGCAGCTATTTGCTTGGCCTTGGGTGAACTTTAAGACTTTTGTGTTTCTGGGTCAGTGAGGGGTCAAATCTCATATGGTGGCGGCAAATAACCAAGAGGACTGACTAACCCAGAATACTAACTACATGGTAATGAAAAATGCTACGTGTCTGTGATTTCTGTGTGACGGAGCCGTTTTAAAAGAGGAAGGACAATGTTTTAGGAGATGAAAATAATATCTCCATGGGAATTCCTAGTCATTTTGAGAAATAGCAGGGGCGCATCTTGGAGCCACGGCTGGCATTTAAAGGCACAATATGTAAGATTTTTTTATTAAAATATCCAAAAACCACTAGAACAGTGTTATATATTTTGCTGAGTGTGTACTTACATTATCCCAAATGTTTCCAAGAATGTTTAAATCCAGAGAAATAAGCAATTTTAACTAGTGACACGGACCGTGTCCATAGTGTCATTGTGTCGCCTGCCAATGACGTCATAACCCCTCGCTTTCCATTTTTTGTTTTGTAGAAAACATGGAAACACCAAAGACGCTTTAATATGTTGTGAGTTTTAATAGACCGGTGACGATCGCACAGAGTAGCATTATAACAGATCTTTCAAATGTATCTAGTATGATAAAACAGCGCTGCTTTACCCCACATACTCACGACCGGAAGGAGCGGAAGCGGTCGACTGTGGCATAATAAAAGCTCCGCTGCTTTCGAGCCGTGTGGCAGGCTCGTTCAGCAGCCTCGTTTCGCTTCGACGGCTTTCAGCCTCACCCTGCTTCATTCTACTACATTAACAAATCATTAGCTCATCCATGAACATGATTTCTGCCCGAGTCCCGTCAGATTGCATTGGCTGTGGGGATGAAGACCACAACTCCCATGATTCCACACTCAGTCATCATCAAACTAGTCTCGGTTTATTTTGAATACGCGCCCTCTAGTGGCGAAAATTACATATTGTGCCTTTAACTGGGCGACTGGGTGGTGGAATAACCAAACAGCAGTCACACCGGCACAAATCCACAACTGTCTTACATAGAGCATGACTGGAAAAACTGATTCATATTCATGTGGAGACACATTAATCATCATGTGACCACAATAAAACTGTAAAAGGAATAATATAGACTACATAATGCAGTTTGTTTTCAAAAATGAGATACGAGTCAATTTCCCCAGAATTTAACCTGGAATATTGTTTTAAACCTATTCTTTCTCTCTCACCTTTGCAAAGTCTTTAATCATTTAGTTTGAATTAAATTTAAGCAATTCAATTAAGAAATTATTCAATAAAAGCTATTAATTAGAAGACACTTCATATTTTTTTTAAATTTAAAAAAATGTCTGAATATTAAAAATAAATTTGTATTTAAGGCCATATCACATATACAAATATATATTACATAAAATGTAATATTAATTATAAATTTAGGCCATTTAATAAAGAAATTGATTAATTATTAAACATTATTAATTAAAAGATACTTAATATTATATTAACATTTAAAAAAATATATTTAACATTAATAAATATTTAAGGCCAAATTATTATATATTCCATTTATTATTTATAATTATGTATGTATATATATATATATATATATAATTATTTTTTTGCATGCTAACCACCAAGCCATGACTCCAACACTATTGTCTTTTTTCCTGTCTTCCATTGCAATCCTATTATTTATTTATTTAAAATCACCCTTTAAACATTATACTGCATGGGAACACTAATAATAAATTACCATTAAAGTCTAGTGATTCAATTCCAACACTAACACCTTCCAGGAAAAAAAATAAATAAAATAAAAAGTTACACAAAAGTAAAAGTGAACACCTATTATTCTTGTTTTAAAATGGCAACAGTATTATCCAACAGGAAGACCCATTCACAACAGAATTGTGCCTTTCTCTAACCATTCACAAATCTGACCGTGTAGATTACCACTACACACCATCTGCACTGAGTCTAGAATTTGCCACAGATGGTTTTCCTCCTGCTCAAGGGCTTTACGTATGTCCTGCTCACCCTTATGTATGGCAGTCAGCTCAAAGACTTTAGTGTCCTGTCCTTTGCGACAGTTTGGAACCGAGTCCAAAATTCAGCTCAAGAAGAGAGATTACATGAGCACGCTGACCAGGCCGTAATCCCAAATTAAAGGCAAGAGATGTCGACCCGCAGGAGCAAGATAATCTAAACCTGCTGCAATTATGAGCATCACAATATAGAAGCACAACAACTATCTGGCCTCTCAGCTTCATGGCTTGCAAAAACGGCCGTGCGATTCTTCCACTTTGCCCGTTTATTTATCTGGGTTAAGAAGTTTATCGCATTAAAACCCTGTGAGCCACAGGAGAGACAATACTTCGTGTGAAATCAGATTAGAGTGCACTGTGCAAAAAGTGAAGGAGAGAGGAAAGTGGGGGGAATTAGGCAAAATATATATTAGCAAAAGTTTGGTAACAATTGACATTTTTTTTGCATTTTTTTAAATTCCATTTTGCAGATGATGTGGATATGCAGCCGTCTTACCTGAAGGGAAGATATGAGGCATTGGAGCCGGAGATAAGAGCTCTATAGGCTTCCTCAGGTGTTTTCTTCAGGTAAATCACCTGAGACAGGAAAAAGGAAAGGAAGTGACATTAGAGCAACAGCAAAGAAGCTGAATGCTAGGTACTAATTCTATAACTTTAACATCAGTGTTGTTATTGTTAACTAAAACCATTCAAAATTATTTTTGGTAATTATTGGTAAATTATTTTGTAAAAATTATTTTTGTGGTAATTGAAAAAGCTGAAATAAATATTACATGAAAAACTTAACTGAAATGAAAATTGTTGCACTAGAAACTAACAAAAATCAGCAACTACTAAAATTACTAAAACTAAAATTGAAAAAATTATAGCTATATAGAAAAAATGTAATACTAGATTTAAAATATATAAACATAAAAATTACAAAACACAAACTTAACAAAACAAAACTTAAATTGAAAAAAGAAAACTGAAAATATTAAATTAAAAATAAAACCCAACTTAAAATATTAGTAAATACTATAATTGTTTTTAAATGGCACTGAAATTGAACACTGTTCATTCAGATGGTTTCCAATCAGATTAACCGATTAGGGGAAAACGGGGAAAACTATTCATTTCTAGATGCCCAGTTTTTTTTTTTTATATCCTTCAAATTTAGCCAACATTTCATCATTTTAGACAATTTCACCCTGGCCAAAATGAAAATAATATTTTAGTTGACAATCGTGCAAAATGACATTTGATTTTTCTTCCAAAAATGTTTTGTTAATTACAATCTGACTTCTAGAAAGAACAATTTATACACAAATCAGACGTTGCTACTTCCCAACTGTCTATTCAATCTTTTTTCCTATCCATGTCTATCCGTGTTCCTCATTATCCCATACACAAACGCACTTTCAGGAAAGTGATGTTCGGGCAGAATGTGTAACACAGATGAGATGCTGTGGCTCAGCACAATGGGGCCCTTGTCAAGCTGGGACGACTTGTCACGGCACAGTGCGAGAGTCTCACACACAGACTTGCTGAAGCGATGAGTTTTAGCGGTCATCTACTCCCTACATCCACGTCAATCCCTCTTGACATCATGGAAAGAAAGGACTCTATAATAAGAACTCCGCTCACTCCTTCAACATTTCTGTGGCTTGATGTCAGAATGCAGCAGGACGGTGGCAACACGGAAAAGAAACCTATGTGAACTGCGCCAAAGCCCAACACGCATTAACACAGAAAAACGCAAAAATGGAAATTGTCATTTATTCACACTCAGTTCTTTCTAAATGTTATTTTGTCCATGGAAGATAAATGAAGAAATGTTGAAGTTTGTGCTAGTCGCTCTTTTCCATATTACAAAAAAATGGAAACTGTTTGTGAAGCTTCAAAAACATTAAAATATCAAATTAAAAATCATTATTGACTCAATTCTCCTCTTTTTTTTATCAAATCATTCAGACCAGTTTTGTGAAATGCACCAATCGATTCACTGAAATGATTCAACTAGAAAGAATGATTAATTCACAAATCTGACATAGCTACTTCTCTTATGAATGTGATTCTGCAAATAACTCCCATATTTTCCAAGAAAGTAAGTCATACCTGACTATTATTTACATTCACAAAATAATCTAAAATACCAGTAATTAAAATGTAAAAGTGGGAAATGTGCTATACAAATAAACTTGGGCTCAACGTATCTCTCATTCGATACAAATCCAAATCTTTTGCATGCATCACGTTAATTGCATCATATACGTTGCAGCACATTTCAGAAGAAAAAAGATGGAAGATTAAAACAATTCTAGAAAATGTGCCAACAATTGATCGGAAAGAATGATTAATTCACAAATCTGACATAGCTACTTCTCTTATGAATGTGATTCTGCAAATAACTCCCATATTTTCCAAGAAAGTAAGTCATACCTGACTATTATTTACATTCACAAAATAATCTAAAATACCAGTAATTAAAATGTAAAAGTGGGAAATGTGCTATACAAATAAACTTGGGCTCAACGTATCTCTCTCATTCGATCCAAATCCAAATCTTTTGCATGCATCACGTTAATTGCATCATATACGTTGCAGCACATTTCAGAAGAAAAAAGATGGAAGATTAAAACAATTCTAGAAAATGTGCCAACAATTGATCATATAATATAGAGTCATGTAGTCATGTGGGCCATTTTACATTTTTGGTGCATTTGCATCTTTTATGAAGCTTGAAAGCCTCAGTCTCCATTCATTGTAACTGCATGGAAAAGAGCGACCTGCACACTCTCAAAAATATCTTATTTTTTGTTCTACAGTGAAACGTCGTAGAGGTTTGAAACAATGTAAATAACAGAATTTTCATTTTTGGTTGAACTAATCTTTTTAAGATCTCCAGTACTTGACAAAACATAAAACACGGAGAAAACTAGGAGTGAGGTCAAGTGTCTGTTTTTGAAGGCTGTCTGTTCTGCAGGAGGCCAGAGCTTTATAATTTGTGCACGAGCTCATGAAATATGCACCGATCAAACAATTAGCTGAACAGTTCGGCAGATTAAGTTCAGTCCCGTGAGAAGGGTCAGTGTTTGTTTGTTTGTCGCCCTACTGTCCCATGTGACTCTGATGGAAGATCTTGGCCCAGCTGTTCAACCAGTACAAATAATCTCCTTCATATGAAAAAACTGGGTCATCTACTGCAGAGCAGATCAGCAGCAAACATCTGCGCTTGCCAGAGGAGCACATCCCACACAAGCCTGGATCAATAAAAACCTAATTTACAGAAGATTCACTACAAGTGCTGAAAGACAAAAACATTACATTGAACACACGTCCATGCATGCAAAGAGTGACAGGCAAGACCACGCAGAGCAGAAACAAGGTTTTATGCAATTTGGAGATGATTATGGTAATATATGAGAGAATTCCTTAAAACACTAGTTCACCTTGAGCACGTTATTGAGTCTATAGGAGAGAATCTGCATGATTTGATGGCCGTCTCCAGAGGTTGGGTTTTTGAAGGTAGCTAAAATGAGTTTCCATTTAAGACAACTAAATTAACACCGGGATCAAGGTTCATACTAAATTTAGACTGGGAGGGTAAATGTGACCATTCCTAGTAGACCGATTTTGAGGAAGTACACCAACTTTTGCTAGATAATTAGAATTGCAAAGATAAAAAAATAAAGCAGCCCACATTTTCTCTAGATTCTTCATCAGGTTTTCTGTGAGGTTTTCCTCATGAACTTCTGAACGCCGTACACTGTAATTTCAAGTTCATCATTTCATTTTATGGAAGTTCTATTTACACTTCTCCCCAAAATATACATATAAATAACTTGTTTTATCCCAACTGTAAACTGAGTTGTGAGTTGTATGTGATGTTTTACAGTTAAAATGTAAAAAGATTGTTTTAATTATACTATTATTATGAATGTAGACTTGTGTAAACTTTTCACACTGAATTTATATCGTGTGGGGGGGGGGGGCATCTGATTAATGCATATGAAAGTTGCTCAGACCCAAATTCAAATTGTCAGATTTAATGTAAACAACTGGTCAAAAGTTTGGAATAATTAACGCTTTTCTAATGTTTTTCAAATCTGTTTCTTATGCTCACCAAGGTTGCATTTATTTGATGACAAATACAACTAATACAAATATTGTGAAATATTATTACAATTTTAAATAACAGTTTTCTATGTTAATGCATTTTAAAATGACGTGGTGGTCTAGATGAATGAATGCAGTGGAACAGGACAAACTGGCATTCGAGCCAGTCAAGGATATAGTTATTGTGCTGCCACAAAGCGAGGGGACTACCAGTCAGTCAGCACTCTGTCGCTGCCTCTGAGGGGGAGTCTGGTATGAGGACACTGGCAAACATCCGAGAAGACTTTGTACGACAAACAAATTTGCTGTCGATGTGGGAGGACTGTTGGTTTTGACGGAAACAGCTGAGTGGCTAATTTGCAGGGTCATGACAGATTCTGCCCTGGATGCGAATCCTCGAGTTCCGGTGAAAGTAATTAATGGCAGTAAGAGAGGAAGACAGAAGGACAAATGGAAGTGGGATACTCACAGCATAAGCACCGATGAGCACAGCAGCGTTAGCCCTTTTGCGCTGGTCAAAGCTGGTGTAGTGCACAATCCTTTTTCTGGTCAGTGTAAACGACTGGAAAGAAAAACATGCATTAAACTGCAATCAAAGTTCGAGAATACATTTTAAATACACAATTTATTTTGGATAGCTTACATTACATAAATTGTTCAATGTAGTTTTCATTCCATTTTATTGAAGATGAAACTCAAATAGCATAAAGTTGCATAAATTATCTGTAGACATTTTTTTATTTAGTTTTAGTAGTTCAACTTTCCTGCAAGTTATTAACAAAAACGACATGTACATCAATCATTAAACTTTTTGTAATTCAAAAAAGTTCTAAACAGCATCAATGGTTAACTCGCATTTTACAGAAACAAAACTGTAATGAGAGAAAAAACGCATTAATGACTACAATGTAAAATGTTACTCTAAAACCATGTTAAACCAAGAGATTGGAGTTTTTTTACTAAACTTGTCATTATTATTTATTATTATAAACACCAAGTTTAGTCAAATCAAAATTAAAATTTTCATCCGTCTTTCAAAATGTAACAATTTGCATTTTATTTAAGATGCTACTGACATACAAGCATTTTCAAGATATTGTAATGCAAAATTTGTTGCATTATACAATTTACATCAAATTGCATCAAATCGAAACACCAAGTTTAGTCAACTGTTTATTTATATCAACTGTTAAACTTAACAAACCAACATTTTAACAAACTAAACAAAATGCATAAAACTGCATCAATCATTAAACTCGGTTTTCTTTAATATAGAAAATGCTTTTTTTTAACCAAAATTGGAAATTGTATCAATAGTAATGCAATTTTAATTAGAAAAAAAATTCATCATTCATTTAACATGGTTTTCATTAGAGTGGTGTTTAAAGGAACTCCAATACAAATTGGATGAAGTTCTCTTTAAAATGCTATTTTAACCAAAATTATTAAATCACTGCATTTAACTTTAAAGCATTTTAACATGAAGAGAAAAAAGAACTGCAACACATTTAACTTGTTGGTTTGTCTTGATTAAGAGTTAAAATATTGGTTTAATGTTAAAATCACTCCAAACCCATTTACAGTTAACATGACTGGTTAGATGTTTGGGAAACAAGTTATGAGAATCTCATTAATGAATATCTCAGTATCAACCAATTTCACACGCCTAACACCCTTTTTCCTGCTTAAACTAGCTTGAGGTGTTCTCTGGATGACTCAATTGAATGTCTTTTACATGAGGGAATTTGCAGCCCCAGCTGCTTCAGTAACGCACAGTGAGGTGCTGCAGGTGAGCCGAAATGAGTGCACAAGAGAAACAGCATGTAGCTGCTAAAAGGCAACTCATGCACAGACGACACGCCAAAAGCTTCAGAATAATCTGTGCTGGAGCCGAGCTGAACTGAAAAGCCCTCAAAGCATCTGTTCCTGTGTCGCTCCACATGCCGCAGAGTAAAGATTTGGCTGGGGTGGGATGAGAGTGAAATCAAACTGCCAAGATGAGAGTGAAATCAAACTGCCAGCACAACAAATGAGGATTCAAACTTGTCCACCTACAACCCGCCCCCAAAGAAAAAGAGACATACCGAAGGCAAAACTAAGGAAAGGAATTTTCCAAAGCTATCTAAGCTGAGAGATCTGTAAAATGTGTTTTTTTAACAGGAGAACCTCTTAAAAATTTGACATTTTTGCCTCTTATTTTTTCTCTATTAATTTTCAAAATGAATATTCACTACCTTAACTTTACAACATTTTGTAAAGTCATAGTAACAGGATTGAACCTTTTTATCTTTCCAATGATAAGCACAGTAATACTGAATGTCAACTAGTTTGGAAAGTGAAGGTGTACAGGTCATCTTTTCTCATAGAGCATATAATAACTTTATACGAACAGGATTGAACACTTATCTTTCCAAGGTGAATCAATAAACACAGCAATACTGAAAGTCAATTAGTTTGGAAAGTGAAGATCTAGAGATCATCTTTTCTCATAAAACCAGAGTAACAGAGTTGAACCATTTTGTCTTTCCAAAATGAATCAATAAGTAAAACAATACTTAACATCAATTAGTTTGGAAAGTGGTGATCTATAGATCATATTTTCCCATAAAGTCATAGCAAATCTTATAGCTAAACCGTTTTATCTTTCCAAAATAATTTTTTTTTTAAATTACTGAATGTCAACTAGTTTGGTAAGTGACGATGTAGAGGTCATCTTTTGTCACTGAGTCGTAGTAACAGGGTTGAACCCATTTATTCATCCAAGGTAAATCGATAAGCAAAACAATATTGAATGTCAGCTAGTTTGGAAACTCAAGATCCTTTCCTTTCTCTAGCCATCTGCAGATCATCTCTTCTCACAGAGTCAAAGTAACAGGGTTGAGCCCTTTTTAATTTCTAGGCAAATCAATAAGCAAAACAAAGTTAACAATCACTCAGAAAGTTCATTTTTATGTAAAACAGCAACATCCACATGCAGGAGGTGGTTATGCTAGTGAGGGGAAGAAATCAGTAAAAAATTACATTTAGCTTAAAAACAAAAACAATCTCAATATTGACAGCATTTTTTAAATCAGATTGTGCTTCAAAACCACCAACTTGAGGTTGCACAAGCTCCTCTCAGCAATGCTAGAAAGCTGATCTTCGGATAACCAGATACTACCAGAACAGATACTACCTAAGCTTCCCTTCTTGCTGTTTGGTTCCTCCAGCCTACAACCAATCATGCGCCCCAAACCAGTGAGGTTTGAAGAAAAAAAAAAAAAAGTAATCTCTATGGCAACAACTTGTAAATTACAAACAGGCGGGGACATTCGCATGTGGTTGGATGGGTGTGCACATAGTGAAAGTGGTTAGGAGGAAAACACATCATGCTTTTACCACAGGACTTTACCTTTAATATTCCAAAACATGAACACATGAGAGACCTACACCTTGCCAGCTTTAGGAACACAGAACAAAACACAAAAGATAAAGTGGTTTATTATTATTCAAACACCTTCCTTTAGCATGGAAAGATGCTTAAGTAAGTTGACATGTCAGCAGAATTAATCACTACAAGGACACTATAAACTTCTTGTCTGCTTTGGGTTTGGTCCTCTTTGCTGACCTCTCAATTTAGGTTAATGGGAAACTAAAGTTGGAGTTGTGTGAAGTTAACCGTTTTATGATCCTGAAAGCTGATGAATCTTAAAAACTAAATTTTTAAAGTTTGCTAAAGCAGAGGAACATTGTAGCTTTGTTCCAAAACCAAGTGACCTGCTTACCTAGACAGCAAAAGTACTTTCCAAAAGGCAGGTGTCTGGCATGTGCTATTAAGAACCTTTAGCCAAAATATTAGGAAGAATCGCAAGTATCATTAGTGGAGAAGGTCCCAGAATGCATTGTAGTGAGATCAGAAAACTGAGATGGCATACAATGTACTTATTTCATTTGAAAAGTATTGATAAAAAGTTCGAATTAAAAAACAGACTTGTTCCCAATGTTTCTGCTGTTAGCTTAGGAATAGCAACACGCTAATGTAAAACTACTGGAATCAATTGAGTTACACCTATGTATTGTTCTAAATCAGTCACCTATGAGGTTTCATTTTGGATAAAATGTTGCCTTTGAAGGTAGCTGTCTATGTAGGTAGTAGCAAGCAAGGAAGCTCACTAGGTTTTGGAAAGCAGTTAGCGTAACCTTAGTAAAAACTATATTTTCAAAGGCCGTAAACAAAACCAAACAGTTCCCTTTACACAGTGTCTATATTAGCAATCAAACGAAAATCTGGGAGTCGATGGATTGGGATGGATCCCATGACCCTCCCACATCACAAGTGAAGTGTGCAGAGCAGTACTCAGACATTAGGGTTGGGCGATGTCTAGCAAATTGGCATCGGACCATGTCTACAGTGAAACATCGTGATGGACGATGTCATCGGGGGCGGGGTTAGGGGGTGTGCCCGAAGCGTGATGCAGAAAGGCATGCTTGCCAGCGGTAGACTGTTGCATTACAGTACATGAAAGTTCACTTACCACATACACAGAGTAAGGAGAGATGACTGATAGGACAATGGCGAATGATTTGCAGATACTGAGCACCACTGACAAATATCTAATCTTGTCAAATGTGTGATAGGTTAGGGCTGGGCGATATAGCTAAAAAAATGTATCAACGATATAATGTTTCATATCGTTCGTTATCGATAATTATTGACTTTTTTTATAACCTTTTTTAAAACAAAGAGCAATAGAAATTGTTTTTTTACATTTAACCACTGTATTTTTAAATTAACTCAATTTATTGAGACAAACAACAAATTTTTTTTGTTTTAACAGTCAAAAACAAAATAAAAATTAAACAAATATCTAATTTCTAATGTTTTATATGCAGATTAAATAGGTTAAACTTTTGGCTTGTCTCCCGAGGCCACAGGAGGGCACAATGAGCAAAATAATGCAGCACATTTTGAATGTTCAACGCAAGGAAGTAATGGTCAATAAAAAAAATGTGCATTAAGTCTAAATTAACTCATAAATCAAATATAATTTTGTAAATTGCATAAACTATTATGAACAAAACAGCATCACGTATTTATGCATTGCTTAATCCAAAGAACCGCAGCGCCCATCACACAGATTGCCTTTAAAAACATATGAGACACAGTGAAAAGGAATAAGCCTCCACAAATTTGCGATGTGTTTTCTAAACGTTTAAACTGTTTTAACTTTGCATGGCTTTCTATACATCTCTTGTGTCAGACGCAAGTGCAGCAGTCGTATTGAGCTTCTATATTTCTTCTAATATTTAATATATTAAACTACGTCACTTGCATCATCACCGCATCTCGTGCTCCACTGATGACGCTCCCTGACGCATATCTAACATTGGATTGTACTATTTTTGCATTCAAATGAAATGTTTATTTTAATTCGACTGATATTCATTCTTTACTCACAATCTCCTCATCACAGGCAGGCACAGCCCTCATGTTCGTGTTTGTGTGTGCTGTCTGCGTCACTCATAGCACGTGACTATATTGTGCACTATATCGAACATTTTTTATATCGTTATCGAAGAAGGTGTACCATCGATAAATATCGATACAGTTTTATCGCCCAGGCCTATGATAGGTACTGCCGCTCCGTAGTATAGAGTCCGTGTGATCGCGAATCTCGAAAGTGAAAGGTAAATGAGAGCGCACATTTGAAAGAGGTTTTAATGCCCTGCATATTAGTAGCGGCTCCCTGATGGCCGCAATTTAAATACCCAATGATATAATTGCGAGAGAAAGTATTGAATTTTTTTCTTTTATCCTCCCATCTCGTAGGCTATTTATTCCCTTTTGGGGTTCCGTAGTACACTTAATCTCCTTTCTGAACACGGAGTTGGGATGCGGTGGATTGCAGGGGGTATGGGATTACGATGCCGGCTCAACATCGTGATGTCTGTCAGCCATCGAGGATGGACGATGGCATCGTCTATCGGCCCAACCCTATCAGACATCTAATCCCCCTCCATAAATCCTTGGTACATGCATGAACCACACGCTAAGGGCAATGCCATAGCTGCTGCTAAAGTCTGAGTAAATACAAGAAAAAAGGTCACATCTAATCCCAACATTTGTTACATCTGATAGACGGAAGGATCAGGCCTAAGAGATCAAGAACGGTGACATAACACACAACTCACTTTCTCAACAGACTGTGAGCATTGAGATTGAAGTAGATCATAATCTGTACCTTGCTGATATTCTGTTAAATGCCATGACAATGGTGGGGGAAGAGAAAGTTGAATTTGAATAGTGAACTTTTGGCCTAGTAGATAAGTTTTAAACTGGCAACTGGAAGGTGACAGGTTCAATCCCCAAAGTGATCAAGACGCACCATTGTGCAAGGCACTTAACCCCAGGTTACACTTGGGGAAGATCGTCCCTGAAAACCATTTGGATAAAAGCGACTTGTAAATGAGTAGTTACTAAACCACTTAAGTCTTAACTTTAAGAGGCCGAGAGAAATTAGAAATATTCTTGGCGTAATGCAACAGGCTGATGTCCAGCTGACATATATAATCTGAAACTAAGCAGACTCACTCACTGACTATGCATCAGGTTAAAGATTCAGATTCATACAACTTGAAGTGTGGATTAAATGAATAATTTGGGTTGAGAACAAGTTTAACTCAACTGACATAACATGGATTACCACAAAAAATTATTCCAACTTGTCCCTCCTTTTCTTTAAACAAAATAAAAATGGAAGTTACAGTGAGGCACTTACAGTGAAAGTGAACGGCGACAATTTTTAGAGCATTTAAAAGCAGAAATACTTATGATTTTTTTCAAAGCACTTTAATTATTTTATTAATACCGAGTATGTAAAACCATGTAATTTGTTGTTTTCATGGTTTAGGGATTTGTCATCGCAACAAAGTTGTAAAACTGGATATAACTTAATACAGAAAAGCTTAGTAAGTGATTTTTTTCACACTAATATCATATTAATGCTCGTATTCTTTAGGTTCTGTTTTATTTTAGAGTATTTTATTGTTTACAAATTGGCCCCTTTTACTTCAATTCTAAGTTGCTCAGGGTAATGTACATTTTTAAAAGGAGGAGGACAAGTAGAAATTATTTTTTGTTGTAATCAGCATTACAATGCAAATGTACTGAACCTGGATTATTCTTTTAAGAAGAAATATCTTCTTTGCCAGAACCGCTGAGCTTCAGAGAGGTCCTGAGCCAAGAACATGCTGTGGTCCCAGGAGACACTCTCTGTCCACATTAAAATGTCAAGACAGGTGAGTCAAAGACTAAAAAAAGACAGGAGACACATGGCTAAAGGTGCATGTGATGTATCCTTCTGAGCTCTGGTCACAGTCACTTTCATTTAAAATGAGCACATGCGATTTTGCCTTACAGACATGGCATAAAACGAGCTGATGACTTGATAAAGTGAGGGAGGAACGGGATGTTTTCTAGCTGTAGATGGAGTTTAATGCTGTATCATTAAGCTTAAATTCCCATTCCATATTACAAAGGAAAAGTCAGCACATTGGATAGCCCAAAATATCCAGCGACAGGGCGTGAGCACAAATTCCTCAGCTTTTTAAAATTGATGTAGCAACATACTGCACATTCTTCAGGAGGAACGTAACAAATCGAGCAGGTGTTTGACTCACCTTGAGCTTTTTGTTGAGTTTACAGCAGTATCTGTACAGCATAGCGAAGTTGAGGGGACCAAAATCAGCATAAAAGCTATGAAAGAGAACAGCAATGTTACCCTTCATTGTTTAATAAGAAAAAAAACACTGATTTATACAATTATTTAAATAGTCAACATGGACGGATTATGGCTTAGGCTAATGGGGCCAGGGCCCTGGGGTCTTCGACTGTCAGGGGCCTCAATCTGTGACCCAAACGCCCGGAATAAAGCCAATGCAGGTGTTAAACTGATATACAAAGACAAAAAAAATCTTTGTCTCGTTTGGAATGTACTATACATATGTTGTTCATTCTTGCAATTTCAAATATAAGCAATACATTTGCATATTGGAATGTGCTTGTTACTCAAACGTTATATTTTGCAATTATGATAAAAGGAGGCCTCTAAAAAGACCATAACCCATCCTTGGAAGTAAGCCTCAAACAGAGTTTTCTTTCAAAATATCTGTCAGAATGATGCGAAGAACATTAGTTCCATTTTTCTCTAATCTTCCCTCATGCGGAAATTCAAAACAAATAACTGACAGGTCCATTATAAAAATGCAACTTTTACTAAAGGAAACGTTCAATTAAAGAGTTATGTAACAGATTTCGGAACAGTTTCCCGCCTGCTGGGTGGTTTTGGCTCTGAAAGATGACTGAGAGAGGGGAAAACTCACTTTTCATACACAAACTCCTCATCCGTGCTGAAGTAATGCGTGTTTGCGGTGCTTTTCGGCTTGCTCCGTAAGGTTGCAAAATAGAGTCTATCTGGAAAAAAAAAATTACACATGGTTGATTAAACAAGCCGGTACAGTTATAAAACAACTATTAATACTCTTCCGAGATAAGATTTTATCATCGGATTATTGGCTTGGGTTTAATCATCTGCAACAATGAACTTATCCCACTGTAGCTTTAAATACACTTAAATATGAATGTGAATCATCACATTACTGGGATTTTATTCAATAAGGTAAGAGAAAGTCAAATATGTTACATTAACACTTTATTTATTTATTTTTTGACAGATTTCAATAAAAAAATTAAAGTTTCTCCAAAAATCTTATCCACTAATCTATGAATCCATGTTTTTTATTATTATTATTCTATCACACAAGTGTAAATTGCATTGTGACAATTAAAAAAAGTTTCATTATATGAAGGTATATATAGCAGGAATAACAGGGTTGACAGTTCATTTAACCATTACTAGTCATGTGCTTGAGGTCATTAAACTACCAAGTGTTTATTAAAAATAAATGCTTATATTTCTGGAAATATCCAATTTTCAATAACCAACTGTTTGCTATACAAAATCAGAATAACAGGGTTGACCATTTAAGACCTTCTAAAAAACACAAGACATTTGTCAGGATGGCTTCATGACAATGTTTAGCACATTAAGAGATTTTAATAACACGGTCATCTGGTAACAGGGTTGATGCATTACCTGTGGACCCCGTTATATATTATATACAAAATATATCATTCAAAACACAAGCTTTTATTTCCATTTCTCACTAGAACATTTTTCAAGCAAATGATAAAGTAGAAAACACTAAAATACACTTAACCAAACTTGCTGCAGATTTGCTAATAAGTTGCGAAAATGTTAAAAAAAACACACCAACAGTTGGTGCAGGGATCTGATGACTGAAACAAGTACATCTCAGTCTGAGGTAACACAATGAATCAAAGTTATCCAAACTGAAGCGCCTACGAAACTTAAACTCACCTTTAACAAACTCCGCAGCACCTATTAAATCATTTTCATCAGCCATTTTAAATAAAGTTGTGAGTATCGCGGAATGTTTTAAGGTGTCGAGAGTCATCGACGGAGCGCAGCTATTTCGAAAAGAAGAGCAAACTAGCGTTAACGTTACTGCTGCTTTCAAATCCGTTTCCTCTCACGGATGCAACTTCTCTCTTGACTGATGGCGCAAATATTCCGAGTAGCTCAAGAACAGAAAAGCCCAATGAAATGTGTAAACAAGGCACTCGCATCTCGTGGCATTCTTCCAGGGGTAAAAGGTGAAGGAAATGAGCTGCAACTTCTCAAGCTGTTAAAACAACTCCAGCTGCGTCACTTCGGCATCCCAACTCGCGCGTCCCGCGTTAAAGTGCTTGAACGATCAGCAGCTTTTTCTCTCGCGCGCGCCGTCAAAACACCATTCGTCGTATTATATATATCCGATTCCGCTTCAAACTGGGCAGCTACGAGTCGCGATCCTTTGCATGGTAACTCTGCCCTGGTCATTAGGTGGAAATCTCTCCCTTGCCATGGTCGCGGACAGTCAAGAAAGATCTTAAAGGGACGTCACGTGGTGCCGAGATGTCCAATCAGCGGCACGGAAGGATGAAACTCGGGTTAACTCTCGCTCGACCAATCAGAGGACTAGAGGTTGTTTTACTCTGAGAGAGACGTCAACCTGCGTAATTCAACCTGTTTATGTTGTTTTACTCACTGCCCTCTCTTGTCTTTTTTGTATATTCAGATACAGATATAAATAGAATAATGCTATGTTTTGTTATCTACATTGTTGTATATAAAAATAAATTATTATACTGAATATTAGGACAAACTGTCTTTCTGTCTGTCCATTCGTCCGTCTATCTATCTATCTATCTATCTATCTATCTATCTATCTATCTATCTATCTGTCTGTCTATCTATCTGTCTGTCTCTGTCTCTCTGTCCCTCCATCGGTCTGTCCATCATCTATCTATCTATCTATATATCTATCTATCTATCTGTCTGTCTGTCTATCTATCTATCTATCTATCTATCTATCTATCTATCTATCTATCTGTGTATCTATCTATCTATCTATCTATCAATCTATCTATCTGTCTGTCTATCTATCTGTCTGTCTGTCTCTGTCTCTCTGTCCCTCCATCGGTCTGTCCATCATCTATCTATCTATCTATATATCTATCTATCTATCTGTCTGTCTGTCTATCTATCTATCTGTCTATCTGTCTGTCTCTGTCTCTCTGTCCCTCCATCGGTCTGTCCATCATCTATCTATCTATCTATCTATCTATCTATCTATCTATCTATCTATCTATCTATCTATCTATCTATCTATCTATCTGTCTGTCT